CCTCCCGGAATATTTTTGTTTGTTTGAAATAGAAATATTTTGGAACATTTGTAATTTTAAAGTGTTTGAGAAAATCCTTTTTTTTTTTTTTAAATATTGGAATTCCCTTTCATAATTCAAAATTCATCAGAGCAAATGCACCAAGTTCCAAAACTTTATTAACCTATGACCTGATTAGAATGTGTGGTGATAAGAACCAGTGTGGTATAGAGTTGTACAGATCATTTTATTCCATAATAGAAAACTTTACAGGGCTGTACCATTACAGTCACCCTCACTAGCCAGGAATGCTTCACATCCTTATTCCATCAACAGTTTTAAAGCGCAGCTATCATTCATTTCTATACAATACAACCCACCCCCAAAACCAAAGAGAAGATTTTAAATATATTAACTTTTTTTTTTTTAATTTGTACACGTAGAGTGAAGCCTAACTTCAAACATGGATACAAACCAGTGATTCAGATTCAGCTCACATTTAACTCGCCCTCAGTTCTCAAGTCCCAGTTATTTCCTTTTCAAGGATCTCAGTTGCCCTCAGTGTTTAATTAAAAAAGTGTCAACATATATAAAATGGAGTAAATTGAACTCATCACTTCATATCGTATTAGAAATCTCCAGCTGGACAGTTATGGAGGGAAAGATGGCATAGTTCAATAATTTATCACAAAAGTAAAAATCTCCAGTGCATTTTGATCAAGAAAACAAGTGCAGCAAATTTCCGAGAAACAAACAAAAAGATACAGAAACCAAAATCTAGTGTTATGAGATTCTATTACAAAGCTGGAATTCTGTACAACTAGTTTCTTCGGAGTTATTCATGCTAATGTTAGCCATTAGCGGTGCAAACAAAACAAAAACAAATCTGAATCACTTGAGAAACATCACATCGCTTGATATGCAACCCTTCTGCCATTCTTCAAACAGCTTTTAATATAATGCCAAGACACTGTATTGAACTATATTCTGACCTTTTGAAGATCTCAAAGGTCAAGCATTTGTATAATAGTAGCAATATTCAGCATCCTCATGATGTTCTAGATAATCTGATCCTATTGTACAAGGCCTGGTAATTTGTCCAGTGGATGGGACGTAATTCCTGAACTGGGATTGGCTGTTTGTCCAGAGCAGACCCTGAAAAGGCAGGCGGGGGGTTGATGTTAGTACCATCATATCTGACGCAGTCCATCTTTTCTATCTCCTCGTTTCTCATTGGTTGCAGGAGATCATATGCTCACGTCCTGCGGATCACAAGAGGAGACCACTGCATGTCTGTGGCGTTCAGGACAAGACACTGCTGTTGCTGCTTCTAGGCGTCGTTGGGAGTTTGGACGCCTGATGGCTGATCTGCTTCCAAAGTCTGGGTGATCTGGAACACCAATCCGATGCGCAGGAAGAACTTGCGCAGGGCGGTCCTCAGCTCTGGGATCAGGTCAAACTGCATGATCTCACAAAGCAGAGGGTAGTATCGAGACGCGTGGGCCTTGAACTGCGAAGAAAACACATGTATTTGAATTCCTTTACATTTTCCCACCGCATGCCCTGGTGTAATGGGATTAACCCTGTGTTGATCAGCACCAGGCGTGCTCTCATAATTGATTATATCAACACAAACCAGTGGTATTGTCTCTATGTGTGACTCTGTAATGCATTAGTGCTGTGAGCAAGATTAAAAAAAATGACTGAGCATTAATCATTCATATCAATTAGTTTGATTTGGAATTAAAACACTTTTCTGTTAAATAGATCTCAAGCTGCTGTCATATGGATCATCATATCACATTTACTAAAAATATTTACCATCAAAAGTTTGGGGTTGGTAATTTTTTGTTTTTGAATGAAATATCTTATGCTGCATTCTTTGATTAAAAATACAGTAAAAATAATAATATGAATTTATTCCTGTGTTGCCAAAGCTGAAGTTTTTAGCATTCATTACTCCAATCTTCAGTGTCACATGATAATATTCTGATTTGCTGCTCAAGAAACATTTCATAATATAATTTTATTATTAATACATTGAAAATAGTTGTGCTGCTTAATATTTTGTGGGAAAAAAAATGACGACTAGGAAGTTCAAAAGAACAGCATTTTAGATTTTTTTTAAATGTCGTAACATTACAAAAGTTGTTACTGTCACTTTTGATCAGCTGAATGTTTTTTTTTCTTAAATATTCATTTCTTAAAATAAATAAAACTTTCCAACCTCAAACTTTTGAACAATAGTGTTTATAATGTATAAAACAAAATGTATTATGAATGATTAAATATGGTAACATATTTACTAAATAATAAAAGTACGTAAATGCATATATTTCATCAAATATATTTACATATTTTATATATTAAGTCAAAAACTTTATATAACCAATTTTCACTTACAAGCTATTAGGTACAGTTACAAGGCTTGAATGCTCAATGGCCAGTATCAGACGTCAGCACATGAAATATCCATATTAAAATATAATATTAAATAAGAGTAAAGTGTTAGATTTTTTTTTTATCATTTACATTTGTTGTAAAATTATTTTCATAGAAATCTCATGAACAGTCTTGCAGTTCCATCATGAACCACTAGGCGATTGCAAACCCTCAGTTGGGAAATGCTGGGCTGAACAATTCTATGCAGCTTCACACATGTATCAGCAGTGAATCAGACACTCACCCTGTCATCACTGATCTTGAGCACTTTGGTAAGGAAGAGCAGCAGAAGGTTGGTCCAGGCCTCGCGGTGGCTCTCAGACGTCAGGGTCAGGAAGTAAGCCACAGCGTCACTGCACACGCTAACAGACCGAAAAAGAGACAGGATTTCACATAAATATTCCACGTACACCGCAAACATCTTGAATACAGCCTTGGTGACCTCTACCGTGACCTCTGATAGGCTCCTCCCCTCATTTGTCTTATGTATCCCCCATCTGCCCTGCAACTTCCTTCACTCATCATGACCTAATCTCACCTAAATCCCCTTTAGCCTGGTTAAGCGTGTCTGCAGTGCCACTGGGCCAATGATTAGAGTCTCTGATAGTCTTCCTGCAGACAAGGAAGTCAGAGTCTGACCTGGCCTCTTTCTCATGATTACACCCTATTAGCAGTGAAGTCTGAGAGTCAGGGACACTTGTGTTCATGCTAAATGGAAGCGCACAGGTCTGCGACTCTGGGATAGAGTGAAATTAGTGCTCAGTGTAGTGTGTTTCTCATTTTAAAGCTTAATTTGCTAGCGCTAATGTCTGTTACTCAACTAGTTTCTCTGTTGGATCCATGCCAGAGCACCAATCCCAATTCAATAAAGCAAACCCACACTCTCACTTCAGGAATGATTAAGCAGAGTGACCTTTGTCCATCATAAAAATGAACAAATTGGAATGAGGAACCAACATGGCTTTTAATGTACTGCCCTTCTGAAGTCCAGGTGTTTTTAGATTCTGAACATTCCTACAGTTGAAGTCTTTATTTGACTCTAGCTGCATGCTGGATTCCTGCAGGACAACCTCTGGATCGTCCCGTCAAAACATCCTGGGAGTTTATCCAGTAGGGTTCTACTGGACATTATTTTAAAGAGACATTATTTTTTATACTGGAACAGTTATACCTGGAAACTTGTCACATGATGGAAGTAAAATAGTCAGCGAATGCCATTTCATGTTGTCGTGGGACACACAAGTGTATCCCTCCCTTTTATAAAATACACACTTTTAATTTGTGCTACAGTCATGAACATAATTTGCTACTTGTCATTACTAGTTGGTGGTGTGTTTGGATATATTTTGGATGTAATATATTTGGATATCATTTGAACAGGGTCTCTGCATCTACTTTTTAAGACCTGCACAAATAAAATTAATACCATATGAGCGGGTAAGGGCAATGTCTATAGTAACATATTAAACTAAAATGACTGTAAATAGCATGATTTACAGTTCAGATTCAAGTTTTCACAAAAACAAAGTTTTATAAAATGATACACTTCACATTTCAGCCTTTAAACCATTTTTAATAAAATGGACGAGTCAAAAGTATTAATTATTATATTAATTTAAACTATTATTATCAATAA